CAGAAAGAATGCTAGATAAATGTTGCTTAATAACAGAAATCTAATTAACTGAGCAAAAATATTCTCTCGGAGCAAGTATTGAATTCTATTAATTATAGAAGTCTTAGCTGAATATTCTGCTATAATAATAACTGCTTAATATACTTCTCAAGTAAGGAAGATTCAGAATAGTTCTCTTAGAAATCTAGATGCTACAAGCAGATAGTAATAGCAGAGTAAGAGTATATGCTCAGCATAACTATGAGCAGTAGCAACTTGAACTGCTTTAACATTATAAAACAAAGTATTCAGGCATTGAAAGAAGAACTTAGCAATAATACTCTTTAATATTTCTTATTACCTATACCAAGCACTATGATTAGAAATATAGATAAGAGATAATACTTTCTTAGTTATTAGTATGAATACTTAAATAACACCAAAAACGCTTCTCAAGCAATAAAAAGATCAAGCTAGAGCAAACAACCTAGCAGCTTACAGAAGCTTCCTGCAAACAACGATGAATCCAAGAAGCTTACAGGAAGATTCCCCTTCAGCATTGAGTGAAACAAAGAAATAATATGAATCGAATATCTCGTTTATAGAATAGAGCTGGAAAAGCTCTTTATCTGCATCCTCTTGTAGAATATCAAGATATAAGAAGATGAAGATTCTTGAATCAGCTTACTTTACAATCTATACTACGAACTAGCTTAAATCTTCTATACTTATCATAGCTGCAGAATGCATTTCTTAAACAAGATGCAATACAAATAGTTCTTTATTAGAGAATTAGAACAAATTCTTTAAGCTATTAAAGAACAGAAATTCCGCTTTAGAAAGATTCTTAACAGATAGCATTACAATGTATACATCGAATTACTAGATAACTGCTTCAAGCAATGCATAAACAAAAAGATAAAATAGTAGCAGTATGAAACAATACTCTGTACAATTTATATTAATAATAAAATTTGCAACTAGCATTAATAGAAGAAAGATTAGGAATAATAATAATACAAGCAAAAGCAAGCTAAGAAGCTTGCTTAAGAAGTAGCAAAATAAGCTTAGAAGAACAAGCAGTTCTTAATAAATCCAAAAGAATAGAATTACTTGTAAAAAAACTGCAGATGATCAGATTAGAATAGTTTCTATATAAAGCTTTTAGGATAGATTATGCTTATATCAAGTTCGATATATATATTCAAGAATACAAATATAGTATACTATTGAATAGTAGCGCTTAAGAAAACTTTATATTTCTATATATTGTTAATCAGATATAACTATAATAGAGATGAAAGAAATGCTTATATATTCTCAGCACTGTGAAAGAACAATCTGTTGTATACAATCAAGAAGTAATCGATAAGAAGACTAATTATCTATCTATTTTGATCCAAGAATATGCAATTAGAGCTTCTTTTGATATTATGAATACAGTATAATATAAGCTAATTATGGAACTTTTATAGCTTAAGAAGCACAATTCTCGAATCAATTAAACTACTAGCTAGATTTCATGAGAACAAGCTGTATTCAGAGAGATAGTTGCAATTAATAATGCAGGATCAAAGCTAGTTACTGAAGAATATTCGGGAAAAGAAGCTTCAGACAACTTTATATATACTTTCAAGTTAGCAGAGCTAGCAGTTCAAGGAGAAGAATCTAGTAATAAGCGAATCTAAATAGTGCTAGGATATTAACAGATTAGCAAAACAATAGAAGCAAGACTCTCAGCAAGTCAGTTCGCTCTGAAGCAATAAGGAAAAGCTTTAGAATATGAATTGTAAATCTACACAGGAAAAACCTTGAAACCAAGCTCTCAAACACTCGCTCCAGCTCGGAGCGAACGCTCAAGGCTCTTGAAAATGCTATCAGAAAAGAAGTATACTCAATAATATCTACTATTTCTCCAGATAGCAGAAACAGCATAAGAATCAGAACCAATATTTGCAAACATATTACAAGAATATTACAAGTTCAAGAAACTATTCCAGGAAGAATTGAATACAGAATTGCTAGAATACAGCTTATACAATCACGAGATCCTATTATAAGAAGAGAAACAGTCCAAATTCTTTCTCATCTATAGATTAAATAAAGCATAACTAGAAGCACTTAGGAAGTATCTCAACGAGAATCTTAAGAAAGAATACATATAACTATTGCAATTATTAGCAGAATACCCCATCCTGTTTATACTCAAGAAGAATAGCAAGCTTAAGCTATGCATTGATTATAAGCAATTTAACAATATTATAATCAAGAATCAATATCTATTGCTACTTATCAAGGAATTATGAGATAAGCTGCAAGAAGTATAGTAGTTTATAATTCTAAATCTAAAAGAAGCTTATAATCTAATCAGAGTAAAGAAAGGAGAAGAATGGAAAACTGCTTTCAGAATATGCTATAAACACTATGAATATTTAATTATGCTCTTTAGTCTAATAAATACCCTAGCTTCATTCTAGAAAATAATCAATCACATTCTATACAAGTACTTGAATCAGTTCATTATTGCTTATCTTGATAATATCCTTATTTATTCTTGAATACTTGAAGAATACAAGAAATATGTGAAAACAGTATTGCAAACGCTTCAAGATGCAAAACTCCTTGTGAAATTCGCAAAGAGCTACTTTTATATACAAAAAATCAATTATTTCGGATTTACAATCAAGCTAGAATGCATTAAGCTATAGAAAAACAAAGTAAAAGCTATTAGAAATTGGCTAGTTCCTAGAAACATCAGGGATATTAGATCTTTTCTCGGATATATCAACTTCTACAAGCAGTTTATTAAGAACTACAGCTGAATTGTATACTCTTTTACAAATTTCATCAAAAAAGAATAGCCTTTCGAATAAATCTTCAAAGCATAAGAAGCTTTCAATAAGATCATTAAGCATATTACCTCAGAACTAGTTCTGTATAAAGCAGATCTCTATAAATTCTTTAAAATTGAAACTAATGCATCAGAATATGCATTCGAAGAACAACTTGGTTAGCAAGATAACTAAGAATATCTAAGAATTATAAGCAACTTCTTAAAGAAGTTGAATAGCTTGAAAATTAATTATGGAATTTCTGATCAGAAACTTATAGCAATAGTGAAAGCCTTCGAGAAGTAGCAATACTATCTTATTAGTATATAATATTCAATCATAATTTACTCGGATTATAAGAATCTGATTACATTTATAATAACTAAGGTTTTGAATAAAAAACAAGTTAGATGGGCAGAATTCCTCTTATAGTTCGATTTCAAGATTGTATACTGCAAAGGCTTAGAGAATGAATGAGCAGATGCTCTTAGCAGAAGATTAGATTATCAAGATGCAGACTCTTCGAATATATAGAATATCTTTGCTTAAGATAAATCAGGAAATCTTATTAATGCATATAAAGAACTGAATGCTGCTCTTAGAATCGAACCTTCGGAAAGAGATTCAGAATTAATAATTCCGAACAAATAAGATAGCTATATCAGAAATATATATAATATACCAGTATATGAATATCAAGAAGTTAGAGCAACCTACGAATGCATTAAAAGATACTGGAATCTATTAGATCTTAAGAAAAGAATTGAGAGCATTCTATAATAATGCAATAGCTGCAAGAAGAATAAAGCAGAAAGATATAAGCTTTATAAACTACTGCATTCCTTATCAATACTTATAACTATTTAGCAATTCATTAATCTAGACTTTATTATCAAGCTATCTCTCTTATGAAAACTCTTAACTAAAATGCAATATAATAGCATTTTAGTAATAGTTTGCAAACTAAGCAAGTATGCTTACTTTCTTCCTTATAAGGAAAGCAGTATAGCAGAGAAACTTGTATATACATTCCTCAGAATAATTATTGCTAACTATAGCATATCAGAAGAAGTAATTTTCAATAGAAATAGAAAGTTCAACTCGAAATTTTGAACTTTACTCATAAAACAGCTCAGAATATACCATAGAATATCTACAGCATTTCATCTGTAGATAGATAAACAAACAGAAAAAATGAATTAAGTTGTTAAACAATACCTTCAATACTATATCAATCAGAAACAGAACAACTGAGTTAATCTATTACTTCTTGCATAATTCGCTTATAATAGCGCAGATATAAGCATAATAAAGAAATCATCATTCTTCATACTCTATAGATACAATCCAATAGCTTATTATGAAGCATTGCTAAAAGCAGATGCAGAAGCTGCAAATAAAAGAATTAAAAAGATTAAGAAAATTCAGAAAGAATTCTAATCAGAATTACAATTCATTCAAGAACAAATAATGCAGTATGCAAACTCCAAGAGAATTGAGGAACCAATTCTACAGAAAGGAGATAAGATCTATCTACTTCGGAAAAACATTAAAACAATCAAATCCAGCAACAAATTCAACTATAAGAAGTTAGAATCTTTCAAAATCTTGCAACAGATTTTCCTAGTTAACTACAAGTTAGCATTATCTTATAAAATGAGAATATATCCAGTTTTCTACATTTCACTGCTAGAACTAGCAGTATAGGAAATATTAATAGATAATACAGCAGAAGTGGAAAACAATGAATCAGAGTATGAGGTGGAAAAGATTCTCAAGTATAGAAGTATAGATAATATAAGGGAATATCTTGTTAAATGAAAAGGCTATTCAGCAAGCGAAAACTCATGAGAATTATGAAAGAATGTTAAGAATGCTTAAGAAAGAGTAGCTGAATATTGGAAAAGGAAAAGCTAGCATCTAAGATAATCGCTCCATTCCAAACCGAGATCCAAGAGCCTCAGAAATCTCGCTTTTCAGAAAACCCAATCAATCTACTACTGCATTCCCTATATTCACGGAATTCCAATCAAAACTTTCAAAAGAAGAATCTCTAGCAATTATAGCAGATTTCTCTATAACTATAGAACGAATTCCAGCAGCAATGCAAGCCTGCTCCTCTGCTTCTATTCTTTCCAATTCCTTTACATTATTAATATTCTAATAAACAGTATACATTATCTTTTCATATTACATTCTTTTCTGCTTATATAGCTTAAGAAGTTTAGCATTCAGCTTAGCAGCTTCCTTTTCAATCGTTTTTATCTTCGCTTTCAAGCAATAATATTGAGCGATTATATGATTCAATTGTGCAGATATCAGGCTACAAACGTTGCAATTTGATAAACTTAGATGTATGCAGATCTGATAACGGAAAGATTCGGATTTAGCAATCTTGCATTCAGCTAAAAGATTGTAATCTTTGCAGTATAAGCAAAGTATAAGCAAAAGAGAACTGAAGATAGCTATAGCAGAAAGAAGAGATGATTTCTGCAAAGAATAAGAATAAAGCTTAGCAATACAATAAGAATTAACTCTATTCGATATCTTGATTAAGAAGGCAAGATTATAGATGAAAGATTTGCTAGAGTATTTACAAAAGATTATTAGAAATAATAACTGATAGAAAGAAGATAATATTATAACTTATCTAATATGCAGATTATAGAATAGATCATGAGTAACAGAAATCAGGTATTAAGAATTCAATATTTTAATAAAGCATTGATTATATAATTCAGAGTTAGAGTTATTAGCGGATAGATATAATTAATATTTATCCTGTTAATAAAGAAATCGATAGAGTTAATATCAATCCTATCTATTCGGACTGAAGAACTAAGTATATAAAGGTTTACATTTCTTACTATCAGATAGATTTCCTTTAGATAGTTCTTCAGTTATCAATCTAAGTATTCAGTTTTATATACTGAGTAGCTTCAAAGGCAGTGAATACTTGCATTGCTTATTAGGACTTGTATGGTTCCGTATTTAAGAACTTGATACTTTGATATTGCTCTTGTTAGTATAAACCTCTTCGTGTACTTAGGAATCTTCGGATTGCTGCAGTGCTTATTACATGCAAGAAATATAATAGTTTACAGTTCTAGATCTAAAAGAAGCTTATAATCTAATTAGAATAAAAAAAGGAGAAGAATAGAAAACTGCTTTCAGAATATGCTACGAATACTATAAATATTTGATTATATTCTTTGATTTAACAAATGCTTCAGCTTCATTTCAGAAAATAATTAATCATATTCTATACAAGCATCTAAATCAGTTTATCATTGCTTATCTTAATAATATTCTTATTTATTCTTGAATATTGAAAGAATATAAGAAATATATAGAAATAATATTGCAAATACTTCAGAATGCGAAGCTTCTTATAAAGCTTGCAAAGAGCTACTTTTATATACAAAAAGTTAACTATCTCGAATTTATAATTAAGCCAGGATGCATTAAGCTATAGAAAGATAAAGTAGAAGCTATTAGAAATTAGCTAGTTTCCAGGAATATTAGAAATATTAGATCTTTCCTCGGATATATCAACTTCTATAAGCAGTTCATTAAGAATTATAACTGAATTATATATCCTCTTACAAATCTTATCAAAAAGAAGCAGCTCTTTAAATAAATCTCCAAAGTATAAAAAGCTTTTAATGAGATTATTAAGCATATCATCTCAGAGCTAGTTCTATATAAAGCAAATCTTTATAAATTCTTTAAAATTAAAACTAATGTATTAGAATATGCATTCAGAAAACAATTTAGCTAGCAAGATAATTAAGAATATCTAAGAATTATAAGCAATTTCTCAAAAAAGTTAAATAGCTCAGAAATCAATTACAGAATCCCTAATCAGAAACTCATAGCAATAATAAAAGCTTTTAAAGAGTAATAATACTATTTTATTAGCATATAATATCTGATTATAGTTTACTCAGATTATAAGAATTTAATTATATTTATAATAATCAAGATTTTGAATAAGCAATAAGTTAGATAAGCAGAATTCCTCTTACAATTCAACTTCAAGATTATATACTGCAAAAGCTCAGAAAACAAATAAGCAAATGCTCTTAGCAGAAAATCAGACTATTGAGATACAGATTCCTTGGATATATAGAATATCTTTATCTAAAACGAGTTAGAAAATCTTATTAATATATACAGAGAACTAAATGCTGCTTTTAGAATCAAATCCTTAGAAAGAAATTCAGAATTAATAATTCTAAATGAATAAAACAACTATATTAAGAATATATACAGTATATTAGCATATAAGCATTAGAGAGTTAGAGTAATCTATAAATGTATTAAAAGATACTGAAATTTACTAGATCTTAGAAAAAGAATTGAAAGCATTCTATAATAATATAATAGCTGCAAAAAGAATAAAGCAGAAAGATATAAGCTTTATAAACTACTGCATTCCTTATTAGTATTTATAATTGTTTAGCAATCTATTAGTTTAAACTTCATTATTAAGCTATTTCTTTTACAAGAATTCTTAACTAAAGTATAATATAATAGCATTCTAATAGTAATTTATAGATTAAGCAAATATGCTTATTTTCTCCTTTATAAGAAAAGCAGTATAGCAGAGAAACTTGTATATGCATTTCTTAGAATGATTATTACTAACTATAGCATACTAGAAGAAGTAATCTCTAATAGAAATAAAAAGTTTAATTCGAAGTTTTGAACTTTGCTTATAAAACAACTCGGAATATATTATAGAATATCTATAGCATTTCATTTATAAACAGATAAATAAATAGAAAGAATAAATTAGATTATTAAATAATACTTTTAATATTATATTAATTAGAAACAGAATAACTAAATTAATTTATTATCTCTTATATAATTCGCTTATAATAGCATAAATATAAGTATAATAAAGAAGTTATTATTCTTTATACTCTATAGATATAATCTAATAGCTTATTATGAAGCATTATTAAAAGCAGATGCAGAAGCTGCAGATAAAAGAATTAAGAAGATTAAGAAAGTTTAAAAGGAATTCCGATCAGAATTACAATTTATTCAAGAATAAATAATGCAGTATACAAACTCTAAAAGAATTAAGAAACTAATCTTACAGAAGAAAGATAAAGTCTATCTACTTCGAAAAAATATTAAAATAATCAAGCTTAGCAATAAACTTGATTACAAAAAACTGAAACTCTTCAAAATCTTGCAATAAATCTTCTTAGTTAATTATAAGTTAGCATTATCTTATAGAATAAGAATATACTTAGTTTTCTATATTTTATTGCTAGAACTAGCAGTATAGAAATGTTATAACTCATTCAACATGCAGGTCACAGAACAGGTCACGAGTAACAGAGACTAGGTGTTAAGGATTCAACGTTCTAACAAAGTATCAATTACATAACTCAGAAATAGAGTTATTAGCGGATAGATATAGTTAACATCTATCCCATCAATAAGAAAATCGATAGAATTAGCATCAATCCTATCTATCTGAACTAAAGAACCAAGTATATGAAAGTTTACATTTCTTACTATTAGATAGATTTTCTTTAGATAGTTCTTCAGTTATTAATCTAAGTATTCAGTTTGATATACTGAGTAGCTTTAAAGGCAGTGAATACTTGCATTGCTTATTAGAACTTGTATAGTTCTATATTCAAAAACTTGATACTTTGATACTGCTTTTGTTAGTATAAACTCTTTGTATATTTAGAAATCTTCGAATTACTGTAGTGCTTATTACATTTTGATAATTCTTATTTAAGAACAGTTTAGTATTATCTTCTTGAGTAATACGGAATATAATAGCTTCTTCAGGAATCTCTTTATTCTCATATATTTCTACTTAGGAAGAACTGATTAACTAGATATATTAGCTTACTCAGCATATTCAGAATCTGTATGAATAATAGCAAGCTTAGAGCATTATTATTGCTAATTAGCAAGCTTAGCTAGCTCAACAAGCTTAGCAAGCGCAGTTTACCTCTGCAGTTATTAGTAGTGCTGAGAAGGTATATAAGATGAATAAGCTTGCTATATATAATAGCAATCAGAAAATGCTATATAGATTTCTTACTTATTGCAGAGTATACTTTTTGCATTATACAATCCAGTTTATTATGAAATCTAAGAAGATTATTCTTGCAAGAACTTATCTCAAGAAGAATATTCTTATCTAATACAAGCTTTCTCTATATAACTACTTGGAATATCAGAACAATCTCAATATATATACTCAGAATACTAAGAATATGTTTAATTCTTTTGAAAGCTTTGAGAAAGCTTTTAAGAAAATCTTTGATAATTCTAACGAAGAATGTATTACAGCTTAGCAGCTTATGAACTTTAAGCAGACTAAGTTAGCTTCTGCTTATATAATTAGATTTAAGCAATTCTTAGCAAGATTCTTGTAGAAAGATAAGAATCTTATGAAATATTATTATAAGGAATTTAAGAATAATATTAAAGATGAAATCTCTAAGCAGAATTAGTTAGAAAACTTTGCAATATTCTTTAATTAAGCTATCTGCATTAATAACTGTTTATATGAATAACGGATAGAGAAGTTCAAGAAGGAAGGAAGTTAGATTTGAAGATTTCTAGCTAATATAAGCAAGAAACTTCAAAATAAGAATAGCAGACAGTATAGCAATATAGCTTAGAGCAGCACTATGCATGCTAGTTTTATAGAGCTCAATACTACTAGCAAGCAGTATAGCAAGAGGAATAGTATTACTTGCTACAACTGCAATAAACAAGAATATATTGTATATAACTGCTATTAACTTCGGAAGAATAAATAGTAACTAGTTTAGAAAGAATGCTAGATGAATATTGCTTAATGATAGAAATTCAATTAACTGAGCAAAAATATTCTCTTGGAGCAAGTATTGGATTCTATTGATTATAGAAGTCTTAGCTAGATATTCTGCTATAATAATAACTGCTTAATATATTTCTTGAGTAAGAAAGATTCAGAATAGTTCTCTCAGAAGCTTCAGCGCTGCAGGTAGATAGCGATAGCAGGATGAGAGTATATGCTCAGCATAATTATGAGCAGCAATAACTTGAACTGCTTCAATATTACTGAATAAAGCATTCAGGCGCTAGAGAAAGAGCTTAATAATAGTATTCTTCATCATTCCTTATCATCTGCATCAAATACTATAATCAGAGAAATGAATAAAGAATAATATTCTCTTGATTATTAGTATAAATATCTAAATAATACTGAAAATGCTTTTCAAGTAACAGAAAGATTAAGCTAGAACGAATAATCTAATAATTTACTAGAATTTTCTATAAACAATAAATTCAAGAAATCTATAGAAAAGTTTTTCTTTAGTATTGAGTAGAATAAGAAAACAATATAAGTTAAATATCTCGTTTATAGGATAGAACTAGAGAAACTTTTCACCTATATTCCCTTGCAGAACATTAAAGTATAAGAAGATAAGAATCCTTGAATCAGCTTACTTCATAATTTATATTAC